CTGGTTACTTCTAGTAGTCATTTTGGCATTTTGTGTTGAAGGTATTCGTGGTTCATTTCTGTTTACTGTTACAACTTCGCTAAATCGAGACGAGCACACGAATAAAACAGAATTAAAGTTCTTACCTTAATAAAATGTAATCCAAGCTGCAGAGGTAAGGAACACGATCATTGTATTAGCAAACACAAAAATAACATATTTATTAGGTATATGAAGAAAAAAAAAAAATAGCGATGATTACAAGCGTTGTTTACTGTCCATTGCATAACGCGAGAAGTGAGTCATACAAGGAGAGAATGTTTCTCCTTGTTTTTTTGGATCAAGTCCAATCACAGTTAATGGGGGTGAGGGGGTCGGAGTTGTACAGCCTCATCGCTGTCGTTATGAATTGCTCCACAATCTCCCACTCGATGAGCTGTTTCTGTCCGAAGTAAGGCCCGATTCCTTTTAATAAAAATTCCAGCTGTTGTCTGGGCAAAGGTTTCGTGAACATGTCTGCATACATCATTTTACTGTTGCAGTGTATTAATTTAACAATCCCTTGATTTTGTAGATCACATACGTAGTGATATTTCACATCGATGTGTTTGGTGTAACTGCTTCCTTTCTCTTTTCGGGAAAGATTTATGCATGATATATTGTCCTCGAATACGATGTTAGCTTCCTGTTGAGCGAAACCTAAATCTCCCATCAGTTGTCTAATCCATTGTAGCTCCTGCAATGTTAAGGCTAGAGCGATGTATTCGGCTTCTGTCGAAGATAGGGCGACACAATTTTTGTTTCTTGCTTCCCCATGATACCGTACTGTTTCCTATTTGAAATATATATCCGGATGTGGATTTTCTGTCAGAGGTATCTCCTGCCCAATCAGCGTCACTGTAAGCTTTGATGACTGGTGCACCATTGGATTTTAGATGTAATTTGTAATTAATTGTAGCTCTCAAATATCGTATGATTTTAATGATACCGTTCCAGTCCGATGTTGATGGATTTTCTACTTTTCTGCTAAGTATTCCAACAGAATTTGCTATGTCAGGTCTTGATACTGTTGCTAAATAAATATAAAAGTGCTCCCACTGCTTCCCTATACTTCCGATTATCGGGAAAAACGTCATCCTGGTTGTTTTGGTTCTTCGTAAAATTCGTAGTCATGGGTGTATAGCTTAGTTTCTTTGGTGACTCTCCGTCGAATTTTTCGATCATACTATCTTAATCTTGTTAGCTTGATGAAGTTTAAAGCTTCCGTCTTTTTCTCTTTCGATTTCAATTCCTAGATATGTAGACACTTCTCCAAGATTTCGAATGTCGAAATATTCTTTGAGAATTCGTTCAACTTCTTGAATTGATTCACACTTGTCGCTCGCGACTAATATGTCATCAACGTAAACGATTATGTAAGTTCTTGCGTTTTTCTCGATTAGTGTGAAGGAACATGGATCAGCCTTTCCTTGAACGTATCCTTGTTTGCGCAGGATTTCAGCTATCTTGTGATTCCAGTTTCTGGCTGCCTGTTTTAGTCCGTAGATACTTTTATTCAGTTTACAGACTTTATTTGCTTCTGAAGCAGAGATGTAGCCTTCTGGTTGCTTCATATATATATCTTCTTTCAGATCTCCCTATAGAAAAGCTGTTTTTACATCGAAGTGATTTACGTGCATTTTTCTTTGAGCTGCTATTGCCAAAATAGTCCTTATTGTTGTATATTTTATGACTGGTGCGAATGTTTCGTCGTAGTCATGCCCAAATTTTTGGCAATATCCTTTAGCTACTAAACCAGCTTTATATCTGATAATATTTCCTGAAGCGTCGGATTTTGTTTTAAATGTCCATTTGTTTCCAATTGCTTTCTTTCCTTTTGGAAGATCGACTAGTTCCCATGTTTTTTTGTTCCTCTTCAGTGCTTCCATTTCTTCTTTCGTAGCTTTTAACCACAGTTCCTTTTCTTTGGTAGGAAAAGTTTGAAGTTCTTCCCAGTCTTTAGGAACTTTGATTTCTTTCTTCATTCTTAGCCATGTATGAGAATCTGTTTGGTGGGATTCCTTTAGTCGTTCTGTGGGATCTTCTCGGTAATGGGGGAATTTCTTCTGTTTCAATTACTTCCTCTGTAATATCATTTGGACGTGGTTCTGTCAATTTATTTTCTTTAAAAGGCCATTCTATTTCCTCATGCTGATCATTTAATTGACAAGGCATTTCTTCTTTTTTGTTTTCATCGAATATTACGCTTCTTCTGATCACGACGTTGTTTGCATGTGGCATGTAAATTCTATATCCTTTAGTACGGTCACTATCCAACATCTTTCGTCATGCTTTGGACTATGCCGAAACTCTGATATTGACGATCATTTCTTCTTTTTTTTTTTTTGTTTTCATTCGAATATTATCTTCTTCTGATCACACTGTTTGCATTGGCAAATGTAATATATCCTTTAGTACGGTCACTATATCCAACAAGAATTCTTCTTTTTCTGCTCTTTCGTCTAGTTTGCTTCTTTTCTGCTTTGGAACTCGACAATAAGCTGTGCTGTGCTGCCGAAAACTCTGATATGGCTTAGGTTCGGCTTCTTATTATTTCCATAGTTCATACGGTGTTTTTTTCAACTGATCTTGATGGTAGCCTGTTTTGTAGATAGGTGGCTGTCATTACGGCTTCACCCCAAAATTCTCTTTTGAGTCCTGAATCGAGTAGCAGGCATCTTGTCATTTCCATTAAGTATCGATTTTTTTTTTTCTTTCTGCTCTACCGTTCTGTTTTGCGGTGAATATGCTACGGAGGTTTGATGTTCGATTCCCTCTTCCTTTAGATAGTCTTCAATCTCTTTGCTTGTATATTCTCCTCCATTGTCTGTTCTTAAGACTTTTGGCTTCTTTTTCCAAATTTGTTCTTCGTCATGGTTACAAATTGTTTTAACTTGGAGATAGCTTCATCTTTTGTAGCTAGCAGATAGATCGTTGTGTATCTCGAATGATCGTCGATGAATGTTATGAAGTATTTCTTTCCTCCTAGTGATGTTGTACCGATTGGTCCACAAATATCTGAATGTATCAAGTCTAGAACTGATTTTGCTCTATAGTTGTTTAGCTTGGGATACGGCAATTCAGTCATTTTGCCTCTGATACAGCATTCGCATTCTTTTTCCTTTTTGGCTTCTCCGTCAATTCTTATTCCGGTTGCCAGGTCATCATTCTTTAGCCTCTTGATTGCTTCATAATTTCTATGTCCTAGCCTTCTATGCCAAAGATCTATACTATTTTCTCTTCTTTCTGCAGTTGCAATTTTGGCTTTTTTCTTTGCGATTCAACTACGGTATATAAATTTCCTTCTGCTTTAGCAATTCCTATGGTTTTTTTTTTTTTTTTTTCTTTCTTCTTTATTCTGCAAATATCTTCTTCAAATTCAACTGTGAATCCTTTCTTTGTAATTTTTCGTACGGATATCAATCCTCCTTCTAGGTCAGGAACGTACAGAACATCTACGAGTCTCACTTCTATTTCGTTATCTTCGTCGTCTGTACAGTATAAGTATCCTTCTCCTATACCTTCGGACTTCATCTGCGTGCCGTTAGCAATTGTTATCTGCTCAGTTTTGCTTCTATCCAATTTGGTGAAAAAGTTTATGTTATCGGTCATATGACAAGTAGCACCTGAGTCAACTGACCAGTTTGAGTTTTGAGATTTTCTTTTCTTTCTCTGGTGACTTCGAACGTGTAATTCTCAGTCTTCTCATGATTCTTATTTTCGTTTTCATCTTCATGTGTATCCTCGTTTACAGCAACTTTCGTTTTCTGTTTATTTCCATAATTTCCTTTATTTGTTTGCTTTTCATTCTTGAAAAATGAGTTACTTTCGTTTTTATCTTTTTCTTTGTGGTTATTTTAAGAATCTGCACTCTTTTTCTAAGTGTCCTATTTTTTTTTGCAATAATTGCATCTTCGTTGATTTAAATGCTTGAATTTTGTGTTAAAATTCGTTTTGAAGGCAGTCGTTTCTTCGTTTCTTCTGCTCGCGTGACTTCTTTTTTCTTCTCAGGCATTCGTCGATGAGTTTCGTTTTTTACGTATTCCAGCGTTAGTTCTTCTTCTGGGCGTGCTTCTAAAGCTGTAATGAGATTTTCGTAGCTTTTTGGTAAGCCGCTTAGTAAGAGCGCTGCAATGTGACTGTCCTTTATTTCTTCACCGATTCCTCGCAGTTCGTCTACGATTTCGAGCATTTTGTTGACGTGTTCTTCGAGTTTGTATTCGTTTTCTTTTCTGCTTTTAACGTATACAGCTTTCTCAGAAGGTAAAGTTTACTGGAAAGATTCTTTCTTTCATGTATTTTCTTTAATTCATTCCATATTTCTTTTTCTTGGCTGTCGTTTTTATTTCTTATGTGTACGATTTGGTTGTCTTCTACGAGTAAACTAATGGTAGCTTGTGCTTGTTCATCTCGTTTTCTCCATTCGACGTTTATTTCTTTTGGTGTATCATCATCTGCTATTAAATCCCATAAATTTTCCTTTTTCAGGATCATTTCAAGTTTGTATTTCCATACTTGATAGTTGTTATTGTTTAGTTTCATGATCGAATATTATTTTTCGCAGCTAGTAGCCATTTCTGCTTCTGTATTTCGAATGCGCAGTACGCAACTATGCAGTTTTGTTTCGCTTTTGAAGACAGGCTTGGCTTTTCCTTTTTCGGATTATCCAGCGATAATTTATGGTAAAGTATCTTTTCTGTTTTTTTTATTCTTAATGGCTTATCTCGATATATTTATGCGTTTAGTTGAAGTAAACATATTTTCAGTCTCATAATCTTTTGTTGAAGGTATTCGTGGTTCATTTTTGTTTACTGTTACAACTTCGCTAAATCGAGACGAGCAGATGAATAAAACAGAATTAAAGTTCTTACCTTAATAAAGTGTAATCCAAGCTGCGGAGGTAAGGAACACGATCATTATATTAGCAAACACAAAATAACATATTTATTAGGTATATGAAGAAAAAAATATCTAGCGATGATTACAAGCGTTGTTTACTGTCCATTGCATAACGCGAGAAGTGAGTCATACAAGGAGAGAATGTTTCTCCTTGTTTTTTGGATCAAGTCCAATCACAGTTAGCGGGGGTGAGGGGGGAGTACAGCCTCATCGCTGCCGTTATGAATTGCTCCACATTTTGTACACCATTTATTAACCTCTGGTAAGTAGTTTCGATTATGAAAAACTATTTTTTGCAGCATTAACTCGAATTTTGGACAGGTCGTCATCGAATCATTGTTTCATGTCTAGAGACCATGACTCCTTCTCCAATACTACAGCTTGCCACTCCATTTTCTTGCAGGACACTAAAGAACTAATTTTTTGTTGAAAAAATTTAAGGAAAATTGCGTATTTTAACACTGCCGAACAAGCCACAAAGTGCAACTCACAAATTCTGAGCCTGAGGCGTGCGTTAAGAGTCACGTACTTTACCATGTGATATTCGAAAAGAATAGGAGATGTATTTCACATTTTGCCGTTTTCTCACCTGGCATTACATAGAATGCCTAGGAAATGTGTGAAATATGAATCGTTTCACATATTGCGGGCTAATTTTAGGCATTATAGAATTCTATAGAAAGCCGGATTTCAAACTTTGCCGGTAACATAATAAATAGCATAATTATCCATCACAAAATAAAGATTGTGAAAAATACGTTTTTCGATTTTCTTTGGCATAATTTTAGGCATAGAATACGAAAAATAATCGGTATGTCGTTTCAGAATCGGCTTTTGAATCAAAATACGTATATTATAACAATTTTGTATTCAAGTTTGTATTGATGCAGAATATTTTTGGAGAATATTTTGCAATATGATTATATAAAGCTCAAAATTAAAGGGCCTAGAAGGATAAGATAATAAGACTATCTTAAAAAGTATGAAAATCGTTGGCGAGATGAAGTATAACGGTAATAATAACTTGCCTATTTAAAATTTTGACTAAAATCAAGAAACAAGCAGTAATTCTGAAATTATCTTAAACATATTTTCTACCTCTTCAGCAAAAGGTTTTAACAGAAATCTTTACCTCTCATGGAAAGGTCAATGAAATAAACTAAAGATCAAGGATTACCTCCGACAGTTTGTAAAGCCCCCAAAAGACCTTGGAAGAAACCACTGACAGAACCACCGGCAGATGTCTTCTCATCACTTTCTATGATCCATACAAAAATTGATAGTTAAAGGCACATTTAATGCAAAAGGTAATTCACAATTAAGTAGAAAACAATGTCCTAGTTTAATAATATCTGCTAAAATTTTATTTTCAAGGAATTCCTTATTGATGAATAAAGTAATTAGAAATAATGTAAGAAATCATTCACAGTAAAAAATATTTTAAAAGTGATGTGTTGAGTCATTTGAATTATAAAACAAACTGAAATCCATTAAACCATTTACATAAATGAACCGAATTTGAGCTGCATTTATGTTGATATTCCAATGTCTTAGGAATTAATTTTTCTCTATGTAGTTATATTTTTAAAAATGTTGACTATGTATGCTTTGATACTGCATACATAGTCAACTTACTATGCTTTGATACTGTATACAACTGATTTTATAATTATACTAGTACATTTGCAAAGATTATCAAAACTTTTATTCATTTAACTGCAAAAAACGCAAATATTTCCATTTTTGCCATTTTCCCAATAACATACATACTTATGTGTAAAAGCTACAAACTTGTTATGAAAAGTACGTTTTTAGAGCTATTGCTCCTTATAATCTTGGAAAAACAAAATTTACTGAATGATTCTGGCAATGCTAAAACCGATACAGAAAGATATTTACGGATAAAAATAGATTTAAGAACTTTGTTTTATCATTACTATTCTATAATTTTCACATAATAAAGGCTTTAAAGTTAAAAAAATATTAGTTAAGTTCAAGTTGCTACTATGCATACGTTAAACTTGGAGCTTACGTTTGCAATACGATATTATAAAAAAAGATCGCAGAAATAAATTTTTCACGTTGCAAATTTATTCAAATAATTTAACCTGAATAAAGCAAAAAATTCAATCTAAAATAAATTTAAAAGACTTGAAATTAATTTTGCGAACAGAACATGCGGCAAAGATCGTTCATCGATTGTTGAAGGCACTATTAGAAAAAATTATCATTTTTTAACATTTAAATATAAAGAGCAAAAAGACGTAAAATACAAGTAATAGTTTTTACAAACTACTCGTATTTGTCTTCTCTGCGTCATGCGGGAAAATATATTTCTTTACTTATTTCTTTACTATTATTATAAAAAGCTCATCTCAATGTATAAATATTTATTTTATTATCTCATTTAATTATTTATTTTCAGTAGCACATGTAGAGTCATTAGGTTATTTGGAAGCAGAAGACGTGAAAAATGTGCAATGCCTTCGCCGGTACTTAAACCTGAACCTCGCGATTACGCATCGAGTATGCTTCCAGATACACCACGAAGCCATGCGGAAAGGAGGGAGAAAACACCTTACATACTCCTCCTTTTTAAAGGGCACTGGGGATTAGAAGACCTATTCACCAAATCCTGGGAGTGACGAATTATCGTCCACCACCATTTAGTTCCGGCTTCAATTCTAGAATCATTAGGTTATTTTGGAGCAGAAGACGTGGAAAATGTGCAGTGCCCTTGCGGGGACTCGAACCTGGACCTGTCGAACACGCGTCGAGGATGCTTCCAATAACACCACGAAAGCATGTCGAAAGGAGGAAGGAAAAACACCTTATACAGTCAAAAGTCGTTGATTCAGACACCCATAATCCGGAATGATCTATAATCCGGACCTCAAAGCTACAAACTTTCTGCGCATAAGACCTTTACGGCTGCGAATATGCGTGTACGCATGCGCATAATACGTTGACGCATGCGCGTTTAATGTATAACGGACGGTATAAGCTAAGCTAAAATTATCTAATTCAGTTAATGTTGCAGATTGCGTTTTTCCTTAATCTTCGAATTGGATCCGGCTTAATATTTTTTGCAGACTGTTAGAGCAATTTTATAAAAGTAGTAAGCTTGAACTTTCGATTATGTCAAATAGAATTTCGAATATATATTTACTAATATGTAAAGGATCTACAAAGCGAAAGCTTCGTTTCTCTAACCATTCCGAAATCTGTTTATCAATTTCACGCTGGTCGGCGGGGGGGGAGGAACGCCGCGGCGCGCAATGAATTGGAAGTTGATCTGTCAGCACTATCCTTATCTTCAGGGCAGATGTTTTTATTTTATTTGGCTTATAATTCCTTACTAAATGTAGTATTTCATCTCGATGTACTCCGTCTTTGATATGATTTAAATCAAATTCCTCATCATTATAATTCGCTTCCGATAGTGAATTATTGAAAACGAAAAAATTTCGATTGACAAATTACTCGGTACTCTCGACACAGCAAGTATAGGACTTGAATAGCGGAACTTTGTAACTGAAGAAGAAATTATGTCTGTTTATAGAATTAAAGAGAAAGTATTATCACATAAAACGAAGCAACTTATCAGGTTCAATGTTCCTTCTTACCTTCTTCGGGAACATACAAGGACCTGACTCGGAACAGAGAGCTTACTAAAGCTATGTTCACTAATTGTGGTAAGTAGACAGGATACAGACGAAGGGTATACAAAACCCTTTATTTTTCTCTATATACAATAACTTCCGTACTTCGGAATACACCGACCCCGCCTACTCGGGGTCTAACGTAAAAGTATAAAAATAAAACTAAACTCTAATTTAACTTTAGAATAATAAACGTGGAAGATTGGCCTTATATTAACAGGAAGGCGTATGTAGTACAGATAACTGAGAACACTACAATACGTTTAAAAGTTATCAAGAGGATTAAAACCTCTGGCCTGGAAGGCAACAAGCAACTGCGTAACTTCTAAGGTAAGCGGCCTGCTTCGAACTCACTGCTTCCTCTCTCTCGCTTGGCAAAAAGGCCACAACTTAAATACTTGGCGTTCGCCAGACAAACTTTGCATAAAAACCTTAACGCTTATAATTCTGGCCGGAAGTAGAAAATAAGAAGTGATAGTAAAGATTTAAAATAAAATAAACGTTAGTAAAACTTAAGATCCTGACATACTTCCCGCCAGAGTTAATTAGTGTGAAACTGAGGTCTAAAACGACCTTGTTGAAAACTTTTAGCTCTAGAATCTAACGCGAGGCCAATCTTTTACAAACATACTTCGCTAGAAACTAGAAATTTAAAAGAAAGAAATTTGTTTTGTTTTTTTTTTACAAATTTGACTTATTTGTAAAGCTTATTTATTAAAACAAAAGGTAAAGAGCAAAAATAGATGCTATATATTTGATATAATTAAAAAAATCAGCGATTTTTTCTCCCTGGAGCAAATTACAAAAAAAAAAAAAAAAAAAAAAAAAATTACAAAAAACCAATATTACATGGTTGGTACGATTGTTAGTACATTGTATGTCTCCCAGACGATGCAATACAGTCCGTACAACGCCTAGGCATGCTGAGTATCAAATTATCGATCTGATCTTGGGGGATATTACACCACTCAAAAAGCAATGCTCTCCGAAGTTCCGGTAGACATGTAGGAGGAGGTTGACGGGCTGCAACTCGTCGGCCAAGCATGTCCCACACGTGCTCTACTGGATTCAAGTCCAGTGAGAATGCTGGCCAGTCCATACGGGTAATATCCTCCGATTGAAGGCATTCGCTTACTATGTTTGCACGGTGAGGACGGGGCGTTGTCATCATAAACATAAACACAAATTGTGCGCCCATGCACCCCGAAACAAACGTACATGTTGTTCCAGAATGACGTCCCGATAGATTTGGCTTGTCATGGTTCCAATTGGAACATGCAGGTCAGTTCTGGAACCCAGAATAATTCCTCCCCAAACGAGAACTCCTGCACCACCGTAACGGTGTCGTTCAATGATGTTTTCTTGGTGGTGACGGGTACCTGGAGCTCTCCATATGAAAGTCGGGCGAGAATCAGACTGCAAGCTAAACCTAGACTCGTCGGAGAACATCACACAAGCCCACTGTAGCGGTGTCCACAATGCATGCTCTCTACTCCAGGATAACTGCAAGCGACAGTGAGTTGCAGTAAGTGGAACGCATCTGACAGGTCTACGAGCATATAGACCAATCGGCCCTAAGCGTCTGTACACGATCTGTCTTGAAATTGTCGTACCAGTGGCTGAAGAGAGCTGACGAGACAGGTCTAAGGCTGTACTCCGCTTGTTTCTTTTAGCAGTAACTGCCAAATACCGGTCTTCATTCGGCGTTGTAACTCTGGGGCGATCTGTGCTGTAACGTCTACTCACATTACCATCATCTTGGAATCGTTGTCAAAGCCTGGAGATGACACTCTGGGCGATTCCAAGTTCTTCTGATACTTCCAGTTGGGTACGCCCACATTCCAGACAGCCGATAATTTTACCACGTAAAAAATCATCCAAATGCGTTCTTTGTGTCATAACTATTCGGTTATTGCACTGAAATGCTTATAAAGTGCCTGCGAACAATTTTACTTCTTTGCCTGTATTCCTTATATATCACTCTCTTACACTCTCGTCATTGTGACGTACCATCGGTGTCATATGGTTACTTCCTGAAATTTGCCTATGATTCTTGAAGATGTGTGTAGTGATTTTACAGGTGATATATTTATTTTAGAGTTTGATATCCGCGTGACTCCGAATTATCCTTAATTTATGGACATGAGTGTATTACGCTTCAGTTAAAACTGCGTTTAGTGCGATGTAAGAAGTTTTCTATTAGTAAAGGTTTTGTACACAGTGCTAGTTGTTATGTCGTGAGCAAAATATTCGTACTTTTCACACCTGACTGCAACTAGATCCGACATAGCAGTGTACAATTGTATACTCAACATCTACAAATTTAAATACCATTCCAGATTTCTTGAGAATGTATTTAATAGAATTCTAATCAGATTTATATTTAAAAATTATATTATTACAGTTTTTCTACAACAATTGTTGCCAGATTTATTATCGATGTATGTGAGAGGCACAAAACTTGTATTAACGAATTCTATCTTGAGTAGGCTTATTAAGATGGCACAAAAATATATAAAAGCCGCATAGTTTGAATGAAATGTTCTGGCTCCAACGAGGTTCGAGCCCAGGTCAACGATCCTTAGAATGCTTAGAATGCTTAAGTCAGTTAATAGATGCATTTAGGAAAACAGTAAAGTCATAACCAAATTTTGACTGAACGTTGCATTTCTGGAAGAGTTGGAAACATGTTTTGTGTTGAACTCGATACCGAGGATCCAGAATGTAATAATTGCGGTGTTCGTGTTAAAAAGACGAATATTAAGTTAGTGTAAATATATACTGAAAAGGTGATAAAGGTCCCGTTGGTTTAGAAAGTTGATAGTAGATCCCTTTGATTTAAGGAGACCAAGTTGAAAGTATTGAAAATGAATTGAACCAAATGAAAACTGAACACCTAACTATCGCTGAGGTGCTTATCTGTGACTGTCCCTTTTAAACATTTTCAGACTAGTAGTTGAAGAAAATGAAAATTTCATGATATTTTGGATGGAACTTGCAATTTTTTATCAACACAATGTTATTTTTAAGAAATTATGTAAAGTTAGATATGAAGTTATGTAAAAATTTAAGTGAAGAAAATATAGAAGTATTTGAGTTGTTTATACTTTTCAATATGATGTCGGAATCCCATAGCAATGAGTTTTTATTTAGAAATTGTAATTGCCTACATCAATAAAAATATTAACAATGTTCACAGAATCCTCAGTTCTCTGAAACCATTTATTGGCAGAAACTGCAACTTTTCTTAAACGGAAATACTGCATATTTATAAAGCAATCATTCGACAAATATATTCATACACTTAATTTGCATGGATCACAGTAAGCAATATGAACCAAAATAAATTACTGTTTCTTCAAAATAAAATTGTCGGCCTTATTACAAATGCTTCTTATTTCATGCGCAAGTACCTCCAAAAGGACGTCTCTGTATCAAATAACATCAAGAACTAACTTCATCAGCAAAATATTCTACAATGAAGCAGTTGACTGTGAAATAGAATAAAGCAGTTGATTGTGACTATAAAACACATCTACGAAATTTACGAGGACGGTACGCCATGCATTTGTAAACAGCAAGAAGTAAATTTCCTTACAGAAGTAAGTAATACTAATCTTAAATGAACTACATTTCACAATGAAAGAATTAAAGATAAGTTACTAAAAGGAAAATTCACAATGATTTAACCATCATTTTAGCCAAAGCAACAGTACAGTAGCTAAGGTTTGCGATGATTTCAGGACAGAAATCAATAGGTTGAATTGGGACGTCCTACTCTTAAACTTTCAATCCATCATGTATTGACCTTTATCCCCACATTGAACTGTACAAAAAAGGAACGTTCATGCTATTTTTTAAGGAAAATTTCTTTTCGCATTTCGATTTTTTTTCACTAAAAGTCTGGAAAAGTCGATGAATCTTGTTTTTTTCCAAAGACAAGTTGCACCAAAATAAAGCCCTGCATTATATTTAAAAAATTAAATAATGAGAATTCTGCCTAAATGTATGTATGCTTTCCACTGTGAATAAAATGTATGCGCAATAAATTTAAACAACCGGTAGTCTTTGAATAACGTAGTCTTTTACTCGAATATTGAGCTTATGAAGTCAAATTTGGAATTTTGTTTTATTACCTATTTATATTTGTAAAACTTTAACGAATTTTTTATTAACAAACTCAACGATTTCAAAGCGTTCCATTAACATGGTGTGCATCTTCTCCAAGCACGGATATTGTATGCACAAGGTTTCTTTTTTCGTGGCACTGCTGTTGAATTGAATTTTGTGGTTTAAGTGCGAAGAACATGATATTTAATAAATAATGCTAACACATAAAACGTTAAAAAAACTCCCCTTTCGGCATAATATAAAATCTGATTTTTCCCCTCTTTTTTATTTATTTATTTTTTCTTTGTCGCATATTTTATTCTGTATATAACTGTACAAAACCCATTTATAGTTTGAACCTTACCCCAAGTACAACGGTGATAAATTCACACTAGTAAAAATATCCGTATAATAAAATTCTTTACATAATTTTTTTTATTTATAATAGACACCAACTCTTAACAGCTGCTGAAAATTCTGTTTTAAGCCTGCGAAGATATTTTATGTCAATAAGGAACAGTACTGTAACTGAATCAGTATTTTTTCAAAATTAGCATTGTCTTATACTCTGTTTGTTTACAATAACCTCAGTAATATGTTCATAATTTTGTTAAATTTGTGCTTAAAAATTAATATCTGACTGATGAAAAAAAAAAGTCGTATTACAATGCAAAAACCTGTATAACTACAACAAGTTTCACGGTATATAAAAAGAAAGTGATGATTAAAATAACAACGATAAAGTTAAAAAACATTATGCATATAATAATTAAAATTTATTACCTTCACGAAGATCTTCGTCCATGTAACATTTTAGGAGATACTTCACTTCTTGCCTCTAAAAACATTACCATTTATTGAGAATATATGATATTTAATATTTTAATAGCTATTTCAAAATGCAATTTGATAATGCATGAATTTCTAACAGACATTTAGTCAGTCAGTAAAAATTATTCTAAATCAGTGAGTAAAAAAAAAACCTTCTTTCGTATATTATTTTTTATCTACGAAACTGGCTTTTGAAGTAAATATTTTTTCTGCACAAAATATAATTCTTTTATCGAGTACTTACCCGATATTTAAAATTTCCATTTGATCCCGAAACATTCTTTCTACTAAGAACTTAAGACAATTCTCGGAAAAACTCGAAATTTTTTTGTGTATTTTTCATTTTATGTTTTTATTCTAAAATTTTGAAAAACAACTCAGTTTCACTTTAAAACAGCATTTATTAGAACAAAGTCCATCTTTATCGAAGTTCATTGATGGTAATCTCAATAAATCAAAATGGCAACATGAAATAACATTAAATCAATGGGCTCTAATCGCACTGTTCTCCAAATTTTAATCCCCCCCTCTTTTTTCATTGTCCGTTTTAAAATATAAATGTATATATTTTAGTGGGAAAGAAAAGTGATTTAATTCGAGGGCTTTTGAAAAATAACGGAACAATCCTGTTGTTGTGGGCTATCTTACTCGTCTGACCTACTCAGGACAAGACCACGTTTTTTATCGTAGCATGGAACTCGAGACTGCATCTACCGTTGGGCATGAGCACCGTGTGCGTTATAGTAAGACTTTGCCCAGCTCCTCTCCAGTTTCGCTAGAAAGCACCCCGGGAATGACTCCGAGGGTCTCTCACTTTTTACCCCTACCACCAAACCTCTCTCAAAAACTTTAGGCTCTCCGTGAATTTTGAATGCCCACACGGAGCGCAGACTCTATATATTTACAAACATGCATGCCTACACCGGGTCCGATTTCCCAACGAGCGATACAACAGCAATGAGTTCTAACCGCTATACCGATCGGTGTGCCTGGAATAGGAGAGACTAAATACATCGGAAAAAATGCTTTCTATTATAAAAATGGAAGTTACGGTTAAGGCAGTTAGGCGATGCAAAAACACATGGATGATGTCTACTGTCATCCTCAATCTTCTAATAATCCCTTCCGAGCGACTAGTGGCTGTACGTGAGCCACTGACGTGACGATCAAGCAGCGAATGTTGTGCTGAAGGCACGCTCGGTTGAAAAAAGATCGTTCAAGACATGCCCATCAGTGGCCGAAAGAGTAACACTGGTGAATACTGGTAATTCAGCGGCGTTGAAATCCCAGGGAATGGGTTGCCTTCATTGGAGTTTCGTGGTTTCCTCCATTTGTAGTGTGAATGCAAATCACCTTCCTTTAATACCTCCTCAAGGAGGTCTCTCTCTCCTTACATGGATTGCCTCGTGTGCTACATCATTAAATTTAAAAATCCAATCCATTCCAACCACTGAAGACATATGGGGTAATAAAATCTAGAGGTCGTTCTAAGGCGGGGCTGAGCAAAAGGCGGCCCGCCGGCCGAATGAGACCCTTTTTAATTGCTTAATACGGTCAGTCAGTTGTCATATGATAAATTAAGCTAAGGAGATGTTTTAGGACGATTTAGTTCAACGAACGAAAAAAGCTGTAGTGTTTAGGATAAAAATTATTACATTTTTAATTTTCATTGATAGAAAAAATTTTAGTGCTTAGTGTAAAACTTTTTTCTGAGAATTTAAAATTAATTTTGAAGAATGAATAATTTGGAAAAAGTTAAAAAATACCTGTAGTGAAAAGATTACTTGATCAAAGATTAAAGTGATTAAATGAATCACGATAATTTTATTTAATTTCTTCGAATTTAGATATATATAGATTTATTTTTCAAAATTTATTATAACTTTTTTGAAAATATTTTTGTATCAAGCACTACAAACTTTTTAGACCAATGAAAATAAAAAATATATATACACATAAATAATTCTGACACTGAGCACTACAACTTTTTTCGTGAGTAAAGCATCACTTCAGCTTAATTTTTTTTGGTGGACAGCATGTGACATTCGTAGTTGTATTTCGCAGTTATAATTCAGGTAATTCCTTTGTAAATTATCATCATATTTAATGTTTTATTAGAAGACCTAATTATTTCGACATTATTAATCAGTTTAAAATTTGTCATTAATCAAATTTCATTACCTAGTAAATGCTAGGCGTAACACTAGTCATATCTTACTGGATAACTCGAATTATTTTTTTTATTTCAAAACAACTGATGCTCTAATGTTACAGATTTAAGAACTAACTCTTCTTTATACTTATTTTTTATTCTATTTTTTTAGCCCAAAGAGCGTTAGGGCTATTAGTCTTCAAACGGCATTTTGCTGTAAATTACTAAAAGCGTTGTATCACTTTTCAAAATGTTACCACCAAATATTATTGACCTATATTATATTTAAAGAAACTAAATAATGAAGAATCTGCGTGAATGTACGTATGTTTCTCGCATTGGGAAAAACAACGGTACCTATAGCCATCAAATTCTGAATAACGTAGTCCTCCAGCCGAATCTGAGCATCTGGAAGACTGAATTTGGAATTTGTTTTATTGTTTATTTCATATTCTGAAAACGTTTAATGAATATTTGATTAACAAATTCAACGATTGCAAAACGAGCAAGAGCAACACTGTATGGGAAAAAAAAAAAAAAAAAAAAAGCATTTTTATGTCCAGCGCGCGAGACTGTCTATCGGATTCTAAAGATAATTCTAAAGATATGGCGTTTTTAAAGTATTTTTAACCCAAAGGGACATTAGCCCAAATGCTCTCGAATCGTGTATGTGTGCGTAAATAGAAGAAAAAAAAAAAAAAAAAAAAAAAAAAAAAACGCCCCGTTGGTCGTAATACAAAATCTAAAAGCTTAAGATTTAATATTTTTTTAGAAAACTAGAAATGACAGTATCAAAGCACTACAATACTGCAATGCTTATGACGTCGCAGTATCGAAATTTACTACGCAAAAATATAGCTAATGTAGCAGACAAATGTAGCTAATGTAATCGCCCATGAGACATTCATACTTGTAAATCAATTAAACGATTTCAATGTTACTTAGGTCTTCTTTGGGGGGGGGCTATTAAGTTTTCGTATACTATTTTTTCATGTGTTGGCTTCCTTGTGTTTATATGTTTTGTTTTTTTGGACTCGGTTTACTCAAAAAGTTTTTGTTAGATGTCTCAAGTTTTCTCAAGCTAATTTACGGCTTTGATGGTATAATTTTGCAATTTTTTGCACTCATTAATGTTAGCCTTGGTATCAAATTTTCATATGTTATTATTTTTTCCTATGTTCGATTGCTTGTGTTTACATGTTTTGGGTTTTCGACTCGGTCTGCTTAAAATGAAAAATATTTTAGATTTTAAAACTTTTTTAAGCTTGTTTGTGGTTTTGATGCTGAAAGTTTTCAATTTATTGCATCACTGCTTACTCCGGCCTATAGAGGTTGGAATAATAAAGACAGAGATTATTTGACTAATTTTCTAAGAATATTTTGAGTATTAAATTCTAATTTTTGTGTCTTTGTTAAGTCAGAAACAGGCTGATGTATTTACTTCGGAACTACTCTTATACACGCCCTTGATTGGCGACATATTTCTGGCCAAACACTTTTGGGGACAAACTCCGCTCCATATTACTATCTAACTGTTTTGTTTACATTTCGAACTTTAAGCCTAAAATGTCTGCAAAAACCACGTTTTTAACACACAATTCACGCCAAAAATTCGAAACAAAAACAAAAAAAAAATTAGATAGCAAAAACGTAAAATTTTTAACCATATATATTTGACAAGAATCTATGTACACAGCAATCTGTTTTAACTTTAAAAAAAAATCAGAGAATTGCACAATCTATGCAATGTAGGAATCTAGGAATTACGCACACCTCGCTAAAATAAACTAACATAACAACAATAAATTTCAAACAATACCATGTACACACCGTTCTGTTTTAACTTGAAAAAACATCAACGAATTACACAATCTAGGCATCGCGCACAGCCTACGCATTGAGCACAAATGAATAAAATAAATTAAACTAACTAAAATAAATTACAAACAATCAAACAATTAAAAAAGCAACAATAACGACAAAAATTCATAGAAAAAAAATATTCAACATAACATTCTACAAAATAAGGACAACAATAAAATAAAATTCATTTACCATTCTGAATGCTTCTTCAATCAGCAGAAATATCAATTTCAAACATTAGCTAAACAACAATTCCAAACAAGAAACACAAACACTTTCATAAAATATTCTACAAACAAATTTTCAATTTATCCCACTCAACAATTCTTACAATTTATCCAAATTTGTTGAAAGAATCTTCTCCCGTTTCAGAACAGTAATGGAAAAACACAAAAACCGCCAAATAAAACTTAAAATCACATTTCCGATTATTAAGTAGGCGTAAGTTGACGTAGTTAATTAAATATACCCAGCCAGCTTACTTCTATGTAAATTTAGTAGTGGATTACAATAACCAGCATAGTTTACTCAGCACGAACAACCAGAGTACTTCTATGATTGTCGCCACATGAAATGTTCGAGATCGTTGCAGTGTACGTTACTGCCCCCGGACCATGATATTTCTACCCGCCTTTGATCCAATTTCCACACTGGATCCCCCCTAGTTCCTTGGGGTAGGTGTCCACAGCTTACCTCCATGATCTTCTTCCACATACAATCCACACATACCTTCGAGAATATTAAATTTCTCTCACTCAAACACAGAAACGTCTTGTGAACAAAAGGTTTACATCACGGTCTCGTGAACAAAAAGTGCGAATCAAAATTTCTGAAAGTTTCGAAACCAATCCAAAAGCTCCTTAACTACTTAAAACCAGGAGGCTCCAATGTAAACTGGCTGACAGCCACATACGTACCCTAACCATTTGCCTGGCAAGCCCGCACAGTGGTAAGCTGACCGTGAGGAAAAGGGCCTGGGTTAGAATCCTGGAGAACATATTTGCCGTCCCTCATAGGACGCGATGGCGCCTCTTGGGTCCCTCATAAATAAAGACCCCCGCACTCGACCTGTATAGATTAATGAACTGGGTTACATTTGTAATTGCTCACTATCTTCCATTGGGAAGGGGGAAAAACCCATTTGCCTGCAAACCCACACAAGTCCACCGGAAACGCCATTCTTCGTACGAGTTCTCATATCAGCTCCACATTTTGGACACGTCAATCTCCGCTTCAGAAGTTTTGACTCCCACAGAAATTCCAAAAGTACACTTCAATCCGCGCATAAACACATCCGTGAACAAAAGATTCATTAACAACTCTAACATCGTACCTTTTGATACTGAATTTACACTACACCACCACAATGAAATCGTGACTAAATTTGCCCACCAAAGTCTTTCACGCCCACAAAACTAACAAACCTGCAAATAAAACCATTTCAGCAAAATAAAGTTTCATTGAATTGGCAGTTAAAACAATGTTACTTTGAATTTCATAGCCAAATTTTTCAACGTATACATAGGATTATGCAGGAATGATTTCTTTATTGGAAAATACAAAGTACAATCATCGTTTTAAATAATATCTAAGATACACTGGTTATTTTGATAGCAATTTGTGTGGATTCAATATTTATCTTCTAACATTTATATATTTAATAATTGATTAGAAATTAATTTATGGCTTTCGCAATAGTTTAAAATATAATAGCTCAGAAATAAGCTAGCTATTTTGTAATAGCTCAGAAACTGCTATGCCATGAAAGAACTGGAAGCAATCCAAAATATATGCATAGGTATATAATCAATTACTTAATATAACTAAAATTAATGATAATTTACCGACTTAATTTTTAAATGCAAAGCTAAAACCTCAGATACGCAGGACATCAATAAGATTTGCAGCCCTACTTCCGGCATACATTCGTCAAAAGACAGTAAATTTATAGGGATAAATCTGAGAAACTGTAGATTGCCATCCACACAATTAAAATTAAAGTGGGAAGATCACAGTGTGTCAGTACTGTAAGACGTTGCCTCCTGAAAGCTGGGTTAATAGCTTGTAGACATAGAAAAATAAAAGCTGACGCTTATTTATAAGGTATTTTCTCCCTTCTTTCAGCCTGCTTTCGTGGTGTAACGGTAGCACACTCGGCGCGTATTCAAGAGATTCAAGTCCCGGCAAAGGCATCGCTCGTTTTTAATGTCTCTTGCTTCAAAGTAACCTAATGACTCAGCAATGGCCCCCGAACTAAAAAAAGGTCATGGATGATGATTCTTCACCGCCAGCATTGGACGATTGGGTCACTAGCGGCTCACCAGCGCCCAAACGATAAAGTAGCTGAACACTGGTAGTTCGGCAGACGGGTTGGCTACATGGGCGTTTTCATGTTTTCCCCAAGTGTAAGCCAGTTCTCCTCTATCCTCCATGTATCCGAGCCAGTTCTTCTTTAGAAGTCTTGCACAAAGGCATCCCTTTCCTTAGGCAGACAGCCCTCGAGTGCTTTGTCATAATCAAATAAACCAAACCAAACAGACGCTTTTTAAAAGTTCATTTTCATTTGTGCGTTAGAGATGGAGCAAATAAGAGTGAGAACCTCTTCATTTGGTGTTACTGTGGGTAAGAAAAGTATTTGCACACCTACATTTTTGTTTGCAATTCATAAAAAGAAGCATTAAGAAATAAAAATATTGGTATTGCCAAATCAGAATAAGTTTAATCACCCAAAACAAACATAAAAATTACAATAAAATAAATAACAATGCTTTTTTGTAACAAAATTAAAATATCTCGTATCAAAAAAATATCAATGTCTTGCTGAAAATAGTACGAATTACTGATACCCAATTTTATTGCACTTTGTGGAAAATTATCTCGCAACACATCAATATAGGTTCGAGCTATCATATTCCCATCAATGAAACACAAATTACCAACTCCTTTGCTAGCCATGCACCCCCAAATCATAAAGAACTCCTCCATGTTTAAACTGTAGGTAACGCATTTTTATATGAAAGCAGTACAAGGTTTTCTCCAAACTAATTTCCTGCCTTTTAAAGATATTGAACTTAACTTCTCGCGGAGAATATGACATTTTTCCAGAAATCAATTGGCTTATTGATATATTCCTTAGTGAATTCAAGTCTCTTCAGTTATTTCGTTCAGTTATGAGAGGTTTTTTTTTCCTTGGTGATCTCCCATAAATGTGTGCATCGTGCAGGACATTTCGAACACTTTGAGCACAGATTTGAACTCAGATGTTGAAGCGACATCATTGGCTAAAGTAATTGCACTAACAATGATTTTTTATGATTCTCTTATGATTTTTCGCTTCATCGCAGCAGTGAAAGTTTCTTTGGGCGTCCAGAGCGCAAGTTATTTGATGTAGATTCTCTTTCACATTTTATAACATACCAAACAGTAGAGAAGCAAACATTTACTTTTTTTACCTATTTCTCGATAACTTAGGCCATTTTCACGTAGAGATAAAAATTTTTTTTTCTCGCAACGAAATCGGCAATTCAGATTTCTTAGGTGCCATTACAATTTGAGAATCGACAATCAACTGATAACGTTTCGACAACACCTCCTTTCTATAGTCGTCTTACGTATGTTATTTACTGCGGGATGACTGTGAAATAATAGCATAAAAATGCAAATTTGCTAAAGTTGAGTCGAGTGTGCAAATACTTTTATGACATAAGCTATTTTAATATTGTTGCAAAAAATGTCTTTTATTAATATTGTATTTTTTGTAATTAATTTAAATGAATAAGCTTATTCTATTTTTAAATGCCAATTTTTGTATTTCTTAATGCATTTTCTTATAAATTGTGAACAAAAATGTATGTGTGCAAATACTTTTTGTACCCACTATATATATTTCTCAGATTAAAATTTCATTGATTTGTAAAGGCAGGATAAAGATTAAAATTTGCATTATAATAAATATGATTAAGAGTTGCATAATAAATATTAAACATGTACGGTAAAAGAGATTAAATGCACAGAAAGAAGCAATATTTCAATTGACTCTTAAATTGCTATTAGTTAACTATGATTTAAACTATGAAGCTGCTACCAGACTTTTAAAACTTAGCCCATAGTTTATTATTTATCTTATATTTTTTAGAAATATTTAAAATAAACATTAGTTTCAAATATTTTCAACTTTTGCTTATTTTATTTGGTCTTATTATTGCTTTAATTTTGTATATTTATTAAAATTCCAATAAATCTGATGACTAATCTTCATTTAATGATTATCGGCAATTTAGCAACGAGTTCTTGAGCAATTTACGAAATATTATGTGTTTGGAAAGGAGTTCAGGAAGAAAATGATGTATTACGTGTTTATATGAAAGATTTAAGTGCACGGCGCCAGGAAGGCACAACTTCAAGATGGCCGCTACACAAAACTAAAATAAGACGTCGAAGAATTGCACACACTCGGTATCCATGTGCACATCGATCTATTTCCGCTTAAAAAAAATAAATAAAAATCAGAGAATTGCACACACTAGGCATTGCGCACTGCCTTAACTTTGTGCACGTACACATCGATCTAATTTTATTTAAAAAAACCAGGAAGCTAAAACAAAGTTAAAACTATCATGCTAGCCAGAAATGGGGTTTCATCGCCAAAACTGAGCAAAATTTGTCGTTAATTGAAAGGGCACCCAATTCTACACTAGAGCCAAATTTAAAAGTAAATAACTGAGCTTAAGTGCATTCGCAACTGGCAAAACTAAGCTTATTTCAGACACTCGTGTATTTCATAGAATCCTGTCAAATGGTTAAATTTATTTGTTCCTGAAGAAGAAATATTGGCGACAATTTTTCTTCTACTTTGCTTGTTAAAATTCACTTTACTTAGCAAAGTAACACAGAGTATTCTCACATGTATTCAAATTAAGTTACATCTTTCATGTATGTGGTGGACCCTCTTTCCTTATTATTAACTGATGTTCTTTGGAATATTAAAATGCGATAGCGGGCATCAAAGCTATTTAATGCGTCGTCCTTTAATTAGCGAAATAAGAAGGAACTATATCCATTAATTGCATTTATTTGCAACAAAAGAAGAAACAAACCATTATTAAAGCTTTTGCTGAAAAGCTTGTTATTTTAGTTTTAGAAAATGTTTAACAAATTGATATGCAATAATTAAAAATAATAACAAAGTTACGCTTTTAGCATAAATATAGTTGATTTTAGCATGAAATAATAAATATTTTTCTAGAATATATCTAAAACTGTCGCCAACACCAAAATGACTCCTTTACTGCTCAACATAATATCGCCAATCCCGTCCGTGATTAAACCTATTCCGGCATAGCTGTAACTGTCGTGAAAGATTAATTCGCGACATACCCTCAAATTATATCGAAATTCACTGATAAGTTATGATTTATTAACATCTTGGAAGTAAAATTATGGAATTCCCACTTACCATATTTTGCTGCACAAAATAATACTGACAATTCTTCCTAATGAAAATTTTATGATTTAAACAAGGAACGTCAACTACACTTTCGCTTTCATATTCACATGAACAGAATCCAGACGCAATGAAACAGGAAATGATTGCGTAAACCGAAAGTCTACACGGAAAGTGGTACATTTACTATTTTTAGATTCAACTGAAACGGCGGAATCCTTTTTCTACATAATAATTTGAATGAAAACTACAAGACGCTATACAAATCGTATTTAGCATTGACTGTTGTGTACTCGCTATGCAATTTCCAAGTGGTGCTGTAAGCCGCGATAGTAGGTGGTAGAGGAGAGTTTGAACGATAGTCACGTGGTTCGAAATCAGTGACGAACTTTTATTTCTCAGTCAGTGGTAGGAAGAGTGTGGAGATAACAACTATTCCTCTTACTTTTTTTTTTTTTTTTTTTTTTTGGTTTGTTTCATTGGTTTTAGTAATTTCGTACGCCGCAGCTTCACATTCGTCTTGCACGCCTTTTTTTTTTTTTCTTCACTTATTTGCTGTTATTTGGTTTGATTTTCATGCTCTCGTTTCTGAATTTTTTTAATAATGAATAAATTATCTCTCCTTGATTAAGAAAATGTTGCTGTGGTGTGTCTCATAAGAATTATTGCATTCATCGAAAACATATTCACTACAAACATATCAGGCGGAGATTCTGATACCTCTGATAAAGAAGCACGTGGCAAAGGGAACAACTTTTTATTATTACTGATGATAGCGGACCTCTTAGGCCTGCATGGGCATTATATGCTGCAGCTGTAATTGATTTCACAAATTTCATTAATCCAACAACTTGTGCACATACCCTGTTCACAGAATCGAACAGATGGCTTCTGAAAGTAAAATTATTAAAAAGTGGTCTTTACAAGGAAAATTTAGCTGATACTTACTCGAATACTTATTTCGGTGTGAAGTTAAACATAATGGCAAGATTCCTTTACAGAAATTTTAAGAACAATTAAAATGCATATCCTTTTAGGGAAATTTACTTAAAAAGGTGGGGAGGGGTTCTAAAAAAATGAAGTATTCCTAGATATAAGTGCACAAATTTTCTTCAGCTCTTTTATGGAATTAATTCAACATTTACTTCAATAATAATGTTAACATATACTTTCCTTCTCTACTTCTTTATACGAAATAAAGGAAATATTGTGATCGTGAAAGTTTTCGTGTATCATATTTCAACGAAATTTCCGTTTTAACCGCTAGTGTATGCAATTTAACGATGTTTTTGCATGACATCTACTTGTATGAACAGAATAAAAGACTCTTTTTACAAAAACGGGTTTCAGAAAGAATTTAAAATGAATTCAGAAGAGAGTTTTTTCGTGACATTTGTACGTACGTATGTATGTATCTCGCGTAACTCAAAAATCGTGTAGCCTCGGAAAATTTGAAATTTTGTACATAGGAATACTATAACATGTATTTGTGCGCCTTCCTTTTTAGGTTGCTATCAGCATGAAATAGCCAATCTTTTACTGGCTCCGTGAGCTAAGTTTTTTTTATTATCACTATATGTTGGTAAATTGTGCATTTTTTTCTTTAAAAATAATTGAATTATATTGTTCTTATCTTCCGGTTAAGGATTTTATGCCTTTAGTTAATCTGCATGCAATAGTTTTAGAATTATTAACAATGTAAAAGTTGTTTAAATGCGTCTAAGCCTAATTTTTTTTACCACAGCAGCCATAATTGTTTATATTTGAAACTTAGAAGAATAGTGAATTGCGTCAGTTTCTGCACCTTCAGTGTCTTTTTGCCGAGTGGGACCAAAAGTAAATTTTCAGTTTTTTACACCAAAAAATCAGCTTTCTTCCCCGCTCGCCGAATTGCTTGTTTTTGCGTAGAAACTTTAATTTTAATTATAATTAATAATAATTTTAATTTAATAACAGTTAAAAAAATTTAATTGTTTTATATTTTTACATTTTTAATAAAGATAGTTTGAGGTTTTTATGTATTTTTGCCTTGTGGCGATCATGTTAAACCAACTAAATTTTACCTGCATATGCTTAATATGACGCTTTTCTGTTAACATGAATTTAATTGCACTAACTTTCCTGTTTAAGAAGCAAAGTTTATCTTACAAATAATTTAATATGTCTAATCACTTAATTTTTTGATTAGTTTCACTTACATATGTTTAATATCATGCTATGCACTAAATATCATGTTTAAAACCCTAATTTTTGATTTATATCATGTTTTGTTTAAAAACTTAATCGTATACTCCTAAAACTGTTGGCGAAGTTAGCGGCAAAACGTACACGCTCGCCAGCGAGTTCTGTGCGGAAGCGCCAGGGGGTTCTTTGCGGAAGTTTAATTAATTTTCCCTCTATTTTAGGAAGCTTATTTACTGCAATTTGATTTTTTGCAACTGTAAATACTTTATCCGAAAACTTGTGCATGTTTGTATATAGAATTTCATGAAGATTTTTGTATTGCCTCAGAATTATCCTGATTAATTTTATAATCTGGAGTTGTAAATAGCTCATAAATAATTGTAAACAGCTCATAAATAATGGTAAATAGCTCATAAATTGTAAATAGCTTGCCTTTGTTGTAAATAGCTCATGACAATTTATCGGTCAAATTTTTATGTATTTTATTCTCAATATTATGTTTTGTACTGTAATAATATTTTCGAAATTAGAAATATCTAGGAAGTTTCACAGCCAACTAGAGAATTTGGGAATTCCAAATGACAACTCTCTACCAAACTCCAGTCACTTCCCTGTACGGGAAAACGTCAAATAACTCTTATTAAAGTGCCCTCAGCGGCTTAAGTGCGAATACATGGTATTTAGTAAATAACGGTACACACAAAACGTTATTTTGGGCGTAATGTCAAATTTGAAAGCTTTCTTATTTTCTCTCTTTTTTTTAAATTTTGTATTCAAATCATAAATTCCAATAAATCGTTTAAATGAACACTGCTAATAGAAAAATTGTAAATTCTTCAAAATATTGACTAGAACATAAAAAGCGCAAAATCGCATTAGCATTCGTCAACTCTTATCTTGCAGATAAAGCATTGCCTGAAATCCATTTTTATTTAAATTCAAATGATTGTTTTAAATTAAAAATATTATTACTTATATTGAGATAAAAATTGTGAAATGAATCTATCATACGATAAGTTTTAAAAAGGTGTTTCACTACTTTGGGCTATCAGTTTATGATGTTGTTTTGTGTTTATTACGTTAAAATTATATATTATGTGCCTTATATTTTCGTAACTGCCTGTGCTCCTATTTTTCTCGTGTTCATCACGTGTCGCCAAGTCGATATTTTTACCTACTGTTCAATATACATGATTATCTTATAGACCTGTGATTTTTATAATATTTTCTCAACTGTTATGGACTTTTGCTTAAACCTTAGAACTTTTAATTTTGTATTTATGTTGATTCATTCGAAAATAATTTATTTTTCGATGGAGGAAAGATCGTCGCACTTAGGTACTCCGGTGATGCACCATTCTACTCAGAAAACAGTGTTTTCAGTAATCTTTTTATGCTGTTATGAACATATTTGCTCTTCTATGATATATTATTACATGGATAAGTTTAAATATAAGTCTATTTGTATCTTATAGTGTCTTGCGTTTCGGTGGATAATAAATTCGTATTTTTGGTTACATTAAACCCATATGATGTAGGTCGACGAAAATAAAATTAGACCTTATCGGACAAGATGGGCCATGTGGTATAAGGCGTACCATAATTTTTTATCAGAGCTTTTTCGATATAACTGAATTCCTAGCGCACATTGGCCCACCAGCGGCCGAGCGGTAACGTCGCTGAACACTGGTAGTTCGGTCTGAGGTTCGAATCCCGCGAACGGGCTGGCTGCATGGGTGTTTTCGTGGTTTTCCCCATGTGTAACGTGTATACGAGACAGTTTCCCTTAAAAAGTCCTCCACGAAGGCATCCCTCCCTTAGCCCTCGAGTGCTTTGCCTTAATCTCATAAACCAAACCAAACCTAGCGCAAATTGTGTGCTCAACCAAACCAGATGCTTCTGTGCAAAATCAATTGAGTGCGCAATGTAAGCGAGACTCTGCGGTTCTGCCGAATTCAATCATTTCATCTGCTTTCATTCTAACATTCATAACAGCATATCACCATCTATTTCATTTGGAAGGAATTACAATTAAACTTCAGGGACGAGCTGTTGATAGTGTGGAAGCCTATAGCATGGTCCAGGAAATAATTGAGTTTTATATTTCTGGGCGTGAAAATGTAGAAAAGAGTTTTGAGAGTATATTTGATCATTCTGGGCAAATGTGTAAAATAATAGGTATAGCGTGCTTAAACTCACACGCATCATTCGAAAGCAAAGCTAGCGAAATAATGCTTTTTTTAGTTTTGTGTTTAATTATTACAAAACTATTTTAGCAATCCCTTTACTTGACCACCTTACTTTCCATTTAAAATTTCAATTTTCAAATGTAGAAAAGACTGCTTCATCCCTGTTTTGCATACAACCATCCGTTTGGGCTGATCATGTAAGATCATTAATTGCTGTAAATGAGTTGAAGGTGACATATAAATATGATTTACCCTCTCCCGAAAAACATCTAAACGAAGACATGACTGTGGCGACACACAACAGTGGCGACGGCATTTTTTTGTCTATTCCCAAAGCAAAGCTTCCAGACACATAGTTTTGTCTTTAAAAACCTTCGAATAAAATCTTTATCCAAACTATTGATGTGCTCTTACACATAGCAGCTACACTGCCGATAAAACCTTGCGAATGTGAACGTTCCGCAGGTGCCTTGAAAAAGGTTTGAAAATAGCTACTATGACGGAACGACGCAGACATTCTTTGACATTAATGCACATTCAGTATACCAGTGCTCCGCAACCGGTGTGCCATGAGCAGGATATAAGTGTGCCGCAATCAAATACATGTATTTGACATTTTGCAATTTTTTATCATGTATTTAATACACAATGACAATCGTTTTTCCTTAATAATGTCTATTTTAAATGTTTTTATATATTTCCCTGTTGTGTGGTTGTGCGTGTGATTGTAAGTGTGTCAGCATTTGAATTTTTTCGGCACTTCCTTGATAACTCGGAACTCTTTGGTATGCCACGAAATTCCAGAAAGATTTTTTGTGCGTCGCAGGTGAGAAAAGGTTGCGGAGCACTGCAGTATACCAAAGAAATATCAATTGACAAAGTTATTCATATAGCCACGAGCTTACAGCCACGAAAAAATGGAATTCGGTAATATTTTAATTGCCAAACCAAAATAAAAGACCAGAAATGTT